ATTAATTAAGACTTCCAAATGTCCAGAGGCCAGGAGCTCTGATCCTGACAACTTCCTGGTGTAACCTCTTGGGGCCAAGGTGGATTAAAATGGACTTATTTCTTTTCTCTCTGCAGAGGATAGTTTCCTGGGGTCAGATCATTACGGAGATCAAACCTTCACTAAATGCGAATCACACACAATGACACTTGCCCTTATATTGAGGGAAGAGGCTCCTAACTGTACTCTGGTGAGTCTAAGTTTCCAGAAGATAGAGTGGGTTGAAGAGAGGAATGCCTCTAAGGTAGAACTTTTTACTAGATAAGATAAAGTATTATTGTGCTCGACTTGAAAAATGAGAAGAAATGCTTGAGGTAAGAAACATCAACGAAAATTAGGTAGATGAGAGAGAACATTGTAAAGAGTCTATCTTGGAATGATCAAATTGAGTTGAATTCCTATATTCCTAGAATTTCTCTCTTTTTATAGACAAGAAAGTAGTAATTCAGTATGAATGTGTGGATCGATTAACAGAATTTGTTATTGCTCTATTGTTGATGCTCATGGATGCTTGTAAAATCAACTTCTAAATCTTGTGAAATACTTTCCATATTAAGAGAATGCAGGCATCTCTTTCAAATTCACGATCACGATCATGACCATCCTGTTGTTCATCGATTGCCTCGAGCAGGCCCCAATAATGTCTCCTTCGTCCTAGCCCTGGTATTTTTTTAAAAGTGCCACATTCAAGGCTCTTTCAGGTTTAGGAGAATGAGACCCATCGTTGTTACTGGTATTTGGCATATTGGGTACGCCACGGGGAGTTTGCCAGACTCTGCCGTGTGGGCAGGTTACATTCAGTAGCCTGCCAGGGTGTCCCAAACAAGAATGAGATAATAAACTTCCGGGATCTGTGTTTTATAGTCTCTGGGTCTTGGACGTTGATGGGATTACACGGCCCGAGGCGGTCAGTTGGTGGGTGTGACCCCCGCCTACTGGAATTCAGAGGATCTGGGTGGAAGATGCTCAGCCCTGATCCGAGCAGGCTTGGAGATCTCAACCCCAGGACCCGCATGCCTTTGTGCCGCTGCCGGTACCTTCATGCGTGTGGAGAGTGGCTGGTTATATTTTTAATAATAATAGCATGGTTCTATTTTCAATACTAGTAAAAATGATAATAATGTAGCACTGTAGTACTGTCCTCCCATTGTTCATCAATTTGCTTGAGCGGGCACCAGTAACATCTCCATTGTGAGACTTCTTGCTACTGTTCTTCTGGCCTGTGGGTCGTGGTGCTGGGGGGGACACTCCTGCCTTGGTGCTCACGTCACTTCCAGCAGTGCTTGGGGAACCAGTGATGCTGGGGATCAAATCTGGGGCTCTTGCATGCAGTCAGGGCTCCATTCTTTCAAGCTCTAGGCCACTTTCACACTGTTGGTTTGCAAACACTCCCAGGACCCCACATACACTCCTCATGTTCCTGGCTGGGGAGCCTGCTGGAACTCACACATGTTTAATCTGAGGTACCCCCATGCATTTCGGCTGTGGGGTCCTGGAGATCACATACTTGGTTGTGGGAGCCAGGGTTCACGGTGGTCATGCCACCAGGATTGTGCTCAGCATGTCGGGGCCATGCTGGGGACTTGATTTGTGGCTTCACCTACCTGTGATGTATTTGATATGCCAAACACAGTAACAATTGTCACAATGGAGATGTTACTGGGCCCCACTAGAGCAAATCGATGAACAACGGGAGGAAAGTGACAGGACAATGTCACTTTCCTGCAAAGGCAGATATGCCACAGCAGCTACGTCCTCCAAACTCCTGACTGACTCACTTTTGTATTACGTTATTATTAGGAACTGTAGCACAGCAGATAGGGCGTTTGCCTTGCTCGCGGCCGACCCGGGTTCAATTCCTCTGTCCCTCTTGGAGAGCCCGGCAAGCTACCGAGAGTATCCCGCCCACACGGCAGAGCCTGGCAAGCTCCTCATGGCGTATTTGATATGCCAAGAACACTAACAACAAGTCTCTTTTTCAAATTAAACAAATATAAAAACTGAACAAATTAAACAAATATAAAAACAAATATAATGTGTGGAGAGCCAAATTTTCTCTCTACAAATAACCACATTTTCTTCTCTAAAAGTAACTCTGGGTAAACTCTGTCAGAGTCTGATGAGAGATCAGGTCTTTTTTCATATTCAGTTACTTTAGGCGTCTGTCTTCTATCTTGGGAGGAGGTGGGAGGAATTCCAACAGAAAGGAAATTTAAGAAAAATACTACAATGGATATGGAAATGGTTAAAATATTAAAAAATGGAGTGTAAAGTATAAATAGAAAAATAATGGTAAATTTCATCAGTGTTTTTTGAAACATTGCTTGTGTTTAAAAATTATTTGTGTCCAACTAAAAGACAGTTCCCAAGCCTACTCGGTTTGCCAGTCATTTGTCAGAAAACAAACAAAAAAACTCAGCACCCCTTTTTTTGAAAACAAATCACACCTGGAAATCTAAAAGTGACTAAACAGAACTTGCACCCAAAAGCAACCAAAGATACCAGTGCCCTCCAGGTTTAATATCTCCCTCCCAGCCCCTGCTCTCCAGAGGATAGTATTGTGCACTGTGCAAAAGCCATGTATTATGTAAACTCTAAGCATTCAGTGTTGATACTGAATGTAGGAAGTTGGAGGCATTTAGAAATTTCACCCAAGAAGAGAATGACCATGGGATGGCAATTAATACAACTAATAGCATGCATCCAAACCACCACTGTGTTGTGCTGGCCACAATACATTTATTTTTTAACACTTAAATGTAAAACCTATAATTATAGTCTTTAAAATGTAAGTGAAGTTTAGTCAATCTTTCCAGTTGATAAAATTTAATCAAATAAATTTTATTTATTTGGCTTTTGGGGTCACACCCAGGGATGCAGAAGGGGTTACTCCTGGCTTTGCACTCAGGAATTCTCTTGGTGGTGCTCAAGGGACCATATGGGATGCTGGGAATCGAACCTGGGTTGGCCTGCATGTAAGGCAAATACCCTACCAGCTGTGCTATTGCTGTAGCTCCTCAACTAAATTTTAGATTTAATTTTTTTATCTTATCTTGAGCTCAAACAGTGAAAATCCTACATCTTTACTCATAAACACTGTTTTCTAAAGAATCTATTTACTTTCTGAGGTCAACTGTATTAGAAACCATGAATAAAATACATATTTAATGTAAGAGTTTTCTGCAAGTCCAGGAATACAGATGCATGCACTGAATAAAAGATCTACATATGAATTGTGATTTTGGAATAAATTGAAGTTACCATTCCAAATTGAGCCTATATTAAGACAATGAGTTTTTTCATTATATTTTCTTATTTATCTTCATATGAATGACTGACAAGGTATAAAAATTTTGGATAAATAAGCAATATTTCCATATCCATAAAATTTTTGTTAATTTTTATCTAGAAAAGTAAGCCACACACTCCCAAATATACAGAGATGAAAGAAAGAAGTTTCTGTAGGCTACAGTAATTGGCCTGAGGAGTTGAAGAGCAAGAGAAGAATGCCTAAGTGATAAATGTGTCATTATGATGTCAAGAAGCATTACATACAAAGTCTTTTAGAACCAGTAACTCTATAAAATGCTTTAGTTTAATTTAAACTTTTATTTTATGACACCTGTGGAACAACATGAAAAATGCGTGAGCACACGTGTGCGTGTGTGTGTGTGTGTGTGTGTGTGTGTGTGTGTGTATGTGTGTGCATACAGACAAACTGAGGGTGTTTAGATTTCCAATAATATAAAAAATTTCATAGGTGTTGTATTTTTGAGTTCTGGGAGGCAGTGTTCTTATTCAATTCAGACTTGAATGCTTTCCCAATATATTATTTGGACTATAACAAAGCAAGGAAACTCCATTACCTTCAGCTTAAAACAGTAGTCTTATCCTTAGAGTTTTTCTAGGGCTGAAAACCTAACAGCAGGACAGCAGGATCAGTGTTTTTCTTTGTGTCTCTGATTTAGGGTAAAAGTCTATGAATGAGCATAACCATAATCATAGATTTTCTACACAGAACTAATTACTTGTTGTCTTATTTCCTTCTATACTTTTAGTGTCTATTTCAGTCCTATGAATTCATGCACTTTGACATTCGATATATAATATCTCTGGCTACTTAGAATCATCATTTTCAAGCATTCTAAAACCTTCTGTCAGTTTAATTTCAGGATTTGTCTGTTATTGCTACTGTACTCATTTTAAGAGTTCGGCCTTTTCTTTTCTCTCTTTTCTTATGGGAGTGCATAACATTGAACTGAAGGCCACACTCATTGGTGAGTAACTCAGAACTCTAGCATTGTTAAATATTCAGGGATTTGAACAAATTTCTTAAACAAGGATTATTTTCTAATTATGAGAAAGTGCTATTTAGGTGTCAATTAACAAATTTTTATTTACAGGCTATTTTTTCTTGTTAAATATTCTGATTATTTTCAGAATATATTCACAAACTTGACCATGTTATATCCTTTAGCATACTTTCTTGATAAATTAGTATTTGTTGAATGATTATGTGGATATCATATACAAAAGTGCTTAATATATTAAATATAAAATTACTTAAGAACTTCATATTTCTGTAGTTTTTCATTAAACTAAAAATGATTATACACTGTACAAAATATTTGTAAGCAATACTTAATTGGGCTGATAATATTACTGCTCAAATTAGATTTCAAAATTTTTCTATAGTCAAAACAAAAAAATATATAAGACTGGCATGATTTTGGTTACTTGATAATGATGATTAATACAATTATTGCTTTACATCATTATTCGTTAGGCACTATCACAGACTTAAAATTTTTGTGTTTATGAAGAAAAGTATTTATAATTAATTTTTACTTTATTGGTTTTTTTAATTGACCATTGTTTTACAACTCTAGGGAATTTGGGGAGCACTGCAACCATGCAGGACCTGTGATTTACAACCAACATCTGTAAGAAGTTAATGGACTATGAATAATTTTACGACAAGTGGGTTCCTCCTCATAGGATTTTCTACCAAGCCTGAGCTAGAAATCTTCTATGCTTCTCTGTTCTTGGTCTTATACTTGTTGGCTTTAGCTGGCAACATGCTCATTATCACCACAACTTCCCTGGATGACAGTCTCCAGTCCCCCATGTATTTCTTCCTGAAACATCTCTCCTTGTTGGATCTCTGCTATATTTCCGGGACTGTCCCAAAATTCATTTACAACTCTTTCTCGCATAGAGGAAATATTTCCTTCTGGGAATGCGTTTTTCAGTGCTTTGTGTTCATCCTCTGTGCGGCTGCTGAGCTGGCCATGCTCACGTTGATGTCCTATGACCGTTATGTGGCTATCTGCCTTCCCCTGCACTATGACGTCATCATGGACGTCAGAACCTGTGTCCATGGGGTTGCAGGCGTCTGGGTCAGTGGGCTCATCTCTGGAGTCATGCACACGGCAGCCACTTTCTCCATCCATTTCTGTGGTCCCCATATCATTCACCAGTTCTTCTGTAATGTTCCCCAGATCCTGAAACTCTCCTGCTCTAATGACTATGTCTATGAGCTCGGTGTCACTGTCTTCCTGGTTTTCGCGGGATTACTTTGTATCATCTTCATAGGATTCTCCTACATGCACATATTTTATTCTGTACTAAGGATGCCATCTGCTGAGGGCAGAGCTAAGGCCTTTTCCACCTGCCTCCCCCACCTCACTGTTGTCTTATTATTTATTTCTACATCTACCTTTGAGTACTTAAAATCCCCTTCGGACTCTCCAACTGCATCAGACATTTTACTCACTGTTATGTATACAGTCGTTCCACCAACATTCAATCCAATGATCTATAGCCTGAGAAATAAAGCTGTTAAGTCAGCTGTAAGAAAAGTTTTTAAGAGGAATAAAATATATCTGCGTTGATCATTTTTATGTATTCTTTGTTTGAGAGAATTTCAAATTCTATTAGGCACTCTTCATAACCTATCAGGAAGTTTCAGTAAATGAAAACTGATTATAGTGAACATTTGAATGGGAAGGTTGTGTTTATGTATGATTGGGTAATAAAATATCAAAAATACCTAAACTAAACTTTGTAAACACAACAGATTAAGATTTCTTCATTGAAGTTTGAGAGTAACTTCAATGAAAATTTGTTAATTTAAAATCAGTCAGGTTAGTGACTTATGATTTGTATGCCAAGGTAATGTGAAAATGTGCATGTGAGACTTGTTGATTTTCCAAAAGTTCTGCTGTATTCTTAGATATTACATGATGTTTACAAACTTATTAAAATGCTCGGACAATCAGTATTCATTTGTTTTTTTTTTAAGCTCCACTAATGCTTTTCAACTTGTTTGGGCCTCAGTTCATATACATTAGTGCCATTCTTGGAATGTCTCATGATCTCCCTTAATTTACCATTTCGGATGTAGTGGACCACTTTTCCACACATGAGGAAGGGATGTTTTAAGTAATAACCAGTGACATTCTCAGAGATACTGTTTTTATTTATTTTTTTATTTTTTAATTTTTTTTTGTATTTTATTTTATTTTATTTTTTTTATTTATTTATTGAATCACCATGGGAAAGGTTACAAAGCTTTCAGATTTAGGTCTCAGTCATGCAAATATCAAGCACATTTCCCTTTACCAAAACTTATTTTTTACCATGAAGAACCCCAATAAAACCCCACCCCCCACCCCTCCCAGTCCCTGTGGGGCAGATGAATTCTAGTTAACACTCTATCTGCTTTGATTAGATTCATTGTTTCAATAAAAGATTCACCACTATTATTTAGAGTTTACCAACCCCCGCCCCCAAGTCAGACATGCTGACAAAGCATTGTGAAGTGATTTGCTGTCTACAGCTGGGTTCAAGAATTATATGTTGGTTTTGGATTTCTGCTATTTTACTTATTGACCCTGGAAGTATTTCTACTGAAAGTCAGATAGTTAAGAAATTGGTTTCTGTGCTTCTGGGGCCGTGGCCGTGCTGGAGAGCCGCTCGTGGGGGGCAACTGGTGACCTCGGTAGGGTGTGAAGGACGGACTGGAACGCCCCCCTTCCCATGAGGTTTTAGTCGCCCCCACACCCCCCGCTCATACCTGCTGTCCACAAGGCTCCCATGTGGCCGCCATCTTTCTTTCCAGAGAGGAGAGGGCGAATGGGACAACACCCTTTCCCCTCCGGACAGACCTGATGGCCTGGATTAACGCATAGTCCGTTCACTTTTCTGCTCCAGGCTGTCGGGTTCTGCATTAAGTCCTTGTGCTTCTGGGGCCGTGGCCGTGCTGGAGAGCCGCTCGTGGGGGGCAACTGGTGACCTCGGTAGGGCGTGAAGGACGGACCGGAACGCCCCCCTTCCCATGAGGTTTTAGTCGCCCCCACACCCCCGGCTCATACCTGTGACCACAAGGCTCCCATGTGGCCGCCATCTTTCTTTCCAGAGGGAGGAAGGTGGAAGGGACCAACACCCTTTCCCCTCCGGGCAGACATGATGACCTGGATTAACGCATAGTCCGTTCACTTTTCTGCTCCAAGCTGCTGGGTTCTGCATTAAGTCCTTGTGCTTCTGGGGCTGTGGCCGTGCTGGAGAGCCGCTCGCGGGGGGTAACTGGTGACCTCGTTACGGCGTGAAGGACGGACCGGAACGCCCCCTTTCCCATGAGGTTTTAGTCGCCCCCACACCCCCGGCTCATACCTGCTGTCCACAAGGCTCCCATGTGGCCGCCATCTTTCTTTCCAGAGAGGAGAGGGCGAATGGGGCAACACCCTTTCCCCTCCGGACAGTCATGATGGCCTGGATTAACGCATAGCCCGTTCACTTTTCTGCTCCAAGCTGCTGGGTTATGCATTAAGTCCTTGTGTTTCTGGGGCTGTGGCCGTGCTCCAAGCTTAACTATGATTTTCAGAGAGAAACGTTGGGTGGTTTACTTCCCATGGATCACTTTGGAGATACCGTTTTTAAATTGGCAAAATTCATGAAAGAAGAAACAAAACAATGTATAAACAAAAATGTTCTTTAAGAGTCTCATTTGCTAAAAATGGAAGAGCTCACTCACAAATAAGGAAAAGATATTTACACTTATGTATATTAAAGTAGAATATATCATAAATGTATTTATCAGCATAGAAAATTAGAAAAGAAAATGAGTATAGGGAAATTTTGCTTTCAAAGTAGAAGAAAAAGTTTTGTATAGAATGAATGAAATTGATAAAAATTATGAAAAAGAAACTATGATGCCAGTTCTGTACCCAACAATGCTCAGGGAACCAAGCTTCATATGGTATCAAAGTGAGGCTGGATATGTGCGAGGTATACTCAGTATACTGTTTTAAATGTATATTTGTTATGAGAAATGATAAGCCTATATTAATTCATTGATTTATCATCCCGGGTGCATTGCTTTACACCTTTCTGTGTGCTCACACCTGACGATCTGGTGGCCATATGACTGTTTCTATTTTTGCCACACTTCTTACCCTTTCCTTCACTAAACCAGCATGTGTTTCACGAGGTCTGAGTTGGATTCATTCTTTCCCCAGGTTAGATGTTCACCTGAGAGTGAAATCTACTTCACTGCCCCTAAAATGCTGTATAAGGAGAAAAAGAATTTAGTATTTTTCTTCACAAATAAGACAAAAATTTGAAATGGCATAATAAAACAAGTATTGTTCCAATGATATGAAAACTGAAAGATGAATAAGAATATAGAAGTAATTCATATATGTGAATATGTGAGCAGCAATCCTGGAAGATGAGTATTAAGTGTCTTATGATGTGTTTGGAAAGTGTCCTGGAGTGTGGCAGCAGCTGGGTAGTGGAAGTAGTGGAGGTAGTGGAGGTCTGCTTCTGAGCTATTTATCTGGTACCAGTAGGATGTGTCTTCTGTGCATGATCCAATCCCTGGGTCTCTGGCGATTGGTGGAACCAGACAGGGCAGGGCAGGATGGGGCTCCTGGTGTTAATCCCTTCATCACCTGTGGTTGGTGGGAGCAGGCAGAGGAACTGTCCCCGGATCCATTGAGCCTGGAGTCCAAGGTCTCCCAGGATTGCCGCACCATATTTGATAGGGTTCAAATATGGTTTCCTCTTAAACTTTGCAGCCCTTTCTCCCCGCTAAGTGAAGTAGAATTTTGCACGAAGGAGACGGTAGTCCGATCCCATTTAGAATTCTGGGACTAAAGCGACATCAGTCAGGCAAAACTGTTGATTGAACATGATGTGGTCAATTTTGTTGCGGAACTGTCCACCGGGAGACTCCCATGTCCAACGTTTAGATTCGGCCTTCTGGAACTGTGAGTTACCATGGATTGTCTTGGTCGACATGATGAACTAAGAGAGTCTCTCACCCTGTTCGTTCCATTGTAGGCCATGGGTCCCAATGTGGAGTTCTTTGGCTGATCTTCTCAGTCCTATCTTGGCATTAAAATAGCTGACAATGATCTTGTAGAAGTTGTGGTCTTCTTTATAGAACTTCTCCAGCTCCATGTAGAACTTCTCAATTTCTCCTTCATCATTATTGAATGTTGGTGCGTAGACAACGAAGAGAGAAACTTCGGGCAGCAAGCCACATCTATTCAAGTGTAATTGTTCGATTCGGGTTATTAGGCATTCGAATGAATCAATGCTCATGGCCAAGTTTGTGTTCACAAGGACACCGACGCCTCTGATGCCTCTTTTATTGCATATTCTGAGGAACATTATTCTCTAGTGTCGAAAATGGCGTGATGTGATTGATGCCTTCTTGTCTTGGTCAGACCAATGATATCGAACTTTATCTTTTGTGCTTGTACCATCAAATTCTCCATGGATGCATCTGATGGCAGCTTATGTGCATTGAAAGTACAGAAAATCATTTTTGTCTTTCTTCGTTTTGGCAGCCTAGTTCGGCCTTGAGATTTTACCAGCCTCTCCTTCCTCACACTTTTCAATACTGCCATATTGGTAACTCCTTCAGGGCAGGGCAATGAAACCCAATGTAATTACTGGTTTTGGCATATCGAATACAAAATGGATAGCTTTCCAGGCTCTGCCGTGTGGGCGGAATACTCTCAGTAGCTTGCCAGGCTCTCCCAGAGGGATAGAGGCTTTTGGGGCTGGAAGTTCTTTGGCACTATTGCTGCAACACCGGAAGATGTCATCGTTGACAACATTGACGAGGAATATGATCGACTGGTTCAGCACCTCCATGATTGTGTGAGGAATGCCAAGAAAGTGATAGCCACAAAAAAAAAAACACCTGTCTTCAAAAACTCTTGAGCTTATTTGCCAACGTGGTTTGGTGTATGCCTCAGGCAACTGCAAGCAAATGTCTGAGCTCGCAAAGTAGTGCAGAATTGCAATAAAGGAAGACCTCAAAGAGACAAGAGCAGAAGTGCTGGTAGGTGTGGCAGAAACAGGGAAAAGCATTGGGAATGCTCGCCTGTCCTTCGCCAACTACAAGACCAAGATACTGCCCTCCAATGTCCTGATGGATTTATCACATCTTCCAGAAGGGCAAAGGAGAGGATTATCCATAACTTCTACTCAGATCTCTTTGAAAGCCACGTCCACCTGTCCACATACCAAATTTCGCAGGATGGATATGTCATTCCCAACATTCTCCCTTCCAAAATCCGACACACTATTTTATTGTTAAAGAAACAAACAGCACCTGGCCTAGACAAGTTCAGACCTGAACACCTGAAGTACCTGCCATCAGTACTCATCAATATGCTGACTCAGCTCTTGACACGCTACCTATCTGAATTCAAATTTCTGTTCCAATGGAAAACCAGCAGGACTGTAAAAGAAGGGAGACATCCACGGCATTGACAAATATTGCCCAATCTGCCTATTATCTGTATTCTACAAGCTGTTCACTCGAGTCATCCTGAATAGGATTAGCAGAACACTAGATGAAGGACAACCATGTGAG